CGACCTGGTTGGCCTGTACAAAAACGACGACAACGAAAATTGGTGAATTTTCTTATCCGACGTTATCCTCTTTATCTGTTGTTCAACTTCACAGTAATTGCCTTTCAGTCCGCTCGACATTTTTCGGATTATTTACGGACTCTGTTGATTTTGCAGGTTCCTCATCTATTAGCCGTTCTTCTGGCTAGTCTGTAGTTCGGTCGCATATCTGCGAGTTCTGACTTCTTGCATAGCAAGGCCACGGTGTATTATAACTCAGAACGACAGAGGGGGTTTATTTGATGATTGCCACTTCTCGTAGTCATAGTGTTCATGTGACTTGTTTCAGTCATACCGAGTTTCAGTGTTACTATTTGTGGCGATGTTTTGAATGTAGAGGTGGTTTAATGTTGGCTTTCTTTGGCACAGCATACCCCGGACGTCCAGATTGATATCCTTGGTTACTTATTGCGAGTATAGCAAAGTACTAAACAGGTGTTTGTGTAGAAATTCAGCTCTGGGGGCCTGGCACTCACTTTGGAAGCCGAAGGTAAAAAGCCAGGCTTTCTGAGCGAACATCAACATAAATAATTGTCACCTCATTACTTTTCATTAATACACTAAACATTATCTTTAAGGTAGTTGTTACTGCTTTGCTGACCACCATCTTCGGTAACCTCAATGGGTGAATCGTGCATCCAGATTTAGACCTTATACTGTTCTTCCTGTACTCAAATCCCCTTCCGACAACGTCTCTTGGCTCTGTTATCACCACATTTTTCCTCTAGTTCGCAACCACCGCAACTTCGTCTGCGTTTGCAAGGTTTCTACACTGGCTCACCACCGAGTCCTACCGTGTGCACTGTCTGCCCAGCCCACTTTCTATTACCTCTTTCAATGTCCTCCCGTCATCAGTCGCTCATCGCTATAGGCACAATGCGCGGAAGTGTTCAGGTAAGCGGGCTTTTCATTGCCTTGCGTGTTTCTGTGTCCTGGGCTCCGTGTCCCCTAAACGGGCAACATGGTGGGTGTGTTGAACCCAGACGGC